CGTTCTATGATTCTTTTATATTCAATATTAAATCATTTTGAAATTTCACAATATTTTTCACATAGAAATTATAAACAGTTATTTGCGCATTGTTGTTGAAGCCAGACAGAAGGGAGAGAAGTTCTCATCGAGGAGTAAATTTAGATTGACCAGAGACGGGAGGGTGACGAAAGGGTAGAACCCGAGAGACTTTTTGCACGCGAGCCGCTTTTTTTTACGTCGTAGGTATGCCGACCGGATAGTATTGCCGTGTGGCCAGGCTGACAGGGCCGACCAATTGAGCCTGTTAACGTCAATTGGACTGAATTAGTTCAATTGAACGTAATTGCACGAAGGCGACGGGGAACCTCCGCTCTCTGTTCGCCGGCCATGCTCGCGTTTTGCTATCCTCGCGCTGATATCGCGCTATTCTCAGGAACTTCCTCCGTGGTACAGTCCCAGCATCTCGAAACGCTCCGATGATACCGATCAGTAGACTATTAATTTTATTCCAAAGGCACTGAGCATTTAATAAGAGAATTGAACATGCGAAGACTGCACATGTTCAACAGACACCATAAAATATTTTTAACTATTCAACTGATTAATCGTTAAATAAATGAAACTACTTTTAAAACATTTATCAAGGCATATTTCCATATACGAAGGGTAGTTATGAATTCGCCGTTTCACGAAGACAACGGAAACCACCCCCGAAACAAATTACAGCAGCAGACGGTCAGGGGAGGCGATTATAACAACTGCAGAATTAACGTGCCCACATAAGCGTCGCGAGATTCTCGATCGAGATCACAATAAACTGTTTCTCGTTTTTTTTTTTTCACCCCCATGCCAGTACTGACTGGCGCATCGTCGGCATTAGTCATTTTATATCATGCTGGTACATTTCACGCGTCAGAGCGTACGAAGATGGTCAACTGCTTGTGTAGGTGGAACACCGTCGATCCTGCTCGACCAGCGATACAAAAGGAAATTTTTGATATTGTCCATTCAATGGGCGAACCCTCGATTCTACCTGAGATTCGATTCGGTGAATTCTCCTTTTCAGGATATTTAGAATGGGTACACACGTGGATTTCGTGCAACAGGTGCATTTGTTTCTCGGACACCTGTGGAACAGAAGTCTTCCGATCTATGCAGAATCGATGAATTATATTTAAGTATACGAGAATAGAATTAGGGAATATTTTATCATGATATCATGAACATATTTTAACGAAGAAAAATCTGTCGTTCTAATTAGCCGCGGTTGGGTCATTAAAATTTTTCCACAATCTTGATGATAATTAATTGTTCTCGAGATTTCAAAGAAGAAAATGTAAAATGTGTCGCAGTCCGATGACGTCGCATCCTTATTAAGTAGTCATAGCCACATCCGTCGCTGTATCCAGTATACGCGTACAAAGTGTACCTCGGAATGATACTCAGAAATTAAACCTTCAATATTTAACCCTTGAAGAACCATAGCTGTGATAATACTGTTTCAGTCGTCTATCAGATTTCTCTTAAACCTCGTCATTACGTTTCTGCTTGGTCACTTATTAAATACATAAAATAATTAAACCCTTAAGGGTTTAATAAACTGAACCGATTACGTTGATCAATTTTTCGAGTAGTGGAACCAAAGCTTGAAATCAGTTTCTCACGCGGAACCGGGTCGGAGTTCTCTCGGAATCCTTCGAGATGAAAAGCCAATCCATTGGCGAGCAATTAGTCGCGTGTATATACCCCCATATTCCGTGAGAACGAGAAATTCGGTTTCCGATATTGTTAGAGGGGGCTAAAAACGCGGCCTATATCATCCCGCATAAGACCGTTCGCTTATGTGGTATAATACAATAATACATATAGGACTGCGGGTGGGAATTTACGAGGACTTCTTCCTTAGATCTGATTACATGGGACGAATGGGTGCACGAATGAAAAACTGCGCCCATATCCAGAATTCTGGCATTATAGGATCGATGCCGCGGCTAATCTACTCGCGGGATCAGCTCCGAAATACAGGATAAAATTCTGTCAGTTTCAATAGCGGTACGATTATGTTATAAATTTGATAGGCGACGTTCATCACGTACTGTGCGCCAACATCGGATTAGTAGCAAGGGTACTGGTTTATTATTAAAGATCACGTTCAAATCAAACAACAATGCGCGATGAATCTAAGCAGGTCGATTAAAAATTTTACAAAAAGTCGATTACAAACTAGAAAAATGACTCGTGAGAGTAGAAAGAAAGAAATGAGTGTAATAGGGTTGACGAGTTCAATTTTTGTATGAATACATAAAGTCCCTGGTCCTATTATTTATTACACCAGGTATTGTATTGAAATCAAGTTTTGGTAATGTAAGCCTTCCTGAATTCCTGTAGAATAATCGAATGCTTGGCAGAAAATTGTTTCCTCGAGTGTCTTCGAGGGCCCCCACCGAGATACCATATAGAAACCATATGTTTTCACGTACGATCATGCTGGCGAAGATGACTCTTCCTGACACGCGACCCGCAGCCACCCTAAATACTTAATTGTCAATTCGATTTCAAAGAGGGAACGATATCCGTGGAATTTTCACAGACTCATAATAGAACCTTTAGCTGTTCCCCAGGATTCTTTTCGTCTGAACACCGAGGAGATATTACTAAAGAGTGCCCGTGTAATCGTTGGGACATCCAATGGGGCTCGTAACACAGTCCGCAATCGGCCTTTTCAGTGGAAATAGGAGGAAATTGTATATGATCTTTCTTGTATCTGGCAACTAGAGCTACAACTTTTATCTGAGACATTTTGCAATAAATAATTTATTTATTTATTAATTATTGACACCAGCGAAAAAACTTTTATACAGAAGTTGTAGGCACTGATGTCCTCTACAAGAAAGATTCTATGCATTTTTCTTCTAACTCCAATATTTAATGAGTTAAATATAATAAAATTCGTTCTTTGAATCTCGTTTGCTGAAGAGTTCTGTGTTACCGCCTCCGGTGGAATAAAACGGTCGGTAGAGACATCTCTCGAAGCTGGTGCTAGCAACAGAGTTCCTCGAGCCGCGAAGACTGCGCGGAGCTCGTTTGAAAAAATGCATCAATGTACTCAATTGAATAACGCGATTAATCATTTCGTTCGAAAATTGCCTATGATCAAAGGAACTTTCGCCTTGCTATCTCAAATCATTTCAATCAAACTGCAAGACTACAGATATAATTACGAAGTACAAATCAATTTAAAAGCTATGATAATTATTTAATAAAATAAATAGTGAAAATCTCGTCCAGGACAAAATTCTATAACATACAAGAAGTAAGTTTCAGTTCATGTTTAAGGTCAAGATAAATGTTTCTTTGTCATCGGTTAGATGGTGGGATCTAAAAATAAATGAACGGAGTAGCGGGTGGGAAAATAGACTTTCTTCGAATCGCGAGAGGAAGATGAAGCCGCGCGTCCGCCCGACAACAGCGAATCCTCAAGCTCGAAAATAGATCGCATAGTTTAGCCGGTTCCACTGGTGTGTATCGCAATAGCCGTGTCGAAAAAGCTTGGCTCCGGATAATTAAGCGTTTATAAACACGAGATCCCGCACCAGATCGAGCACGTGACGTCGGGATTTTGGCGCGCCGCGAGCAAGGTCGTGATAAAACTCGGATTTACGATCGAGAGAGTAAAAGTACTCGCGGGTTCAATAAAAAGAGCGGCACAGATTATTTTCGGCTCCGAACGAGTTGCGTAAACATTCAAAGAAGAGAGGAAATAAACCTTTTAATCCCACTTATCTTGCTTCCCTTTTTAAAAAACACGTTCTGTTTCACGTAAAAATTTCTGCAGTGAACATGTTTAAGGTCAAGATAAATGTTTCTTTGTCATCGGTTAGATGGTGGGATCTAAAAATAAATGAACGGAGTAGCGGGTGGGAAAATAGACTTTCTTCGAATCGCGAGAGGAAGATGAAGCCGCGCGTCCGCCCGACAACAGCGAATCCTCAAGCTCGAAAATAGATCGCATAGTTTAGCCGGTTCCACTGGTGTGTATCGCAATAGCCGTGTCGAAAAAGCTTGGCTCCGGATAATTAAGCGTTTATAAACACGAGATCCCGCACCAGATCGAGCACGTGACGTCGGGATTTTGGCGCGCCGCGAGCAAGGTCGTGATAAAACTCGGATTTACGATCGAGAGAGTAAAAGTACTCGCGGGTTCAATAAAAAGAGCGGCACAGATTATTTTCGGCTCCGAACGAGTTGCGTAAACATTCAAAGAAGAGAGGAAATAAACCTTTTAATCCCACTTATCTTGCTTCCCTTTTTAAAAAACACGTTCTGTTTCACGTAAAAATTTCTGCAGTGATCGCAAATTCTGGAGACATAAAATTGATTGAATTTAAGGATGTATTGACTATACAGTCAATCCCAAAAGTTTATGCACTTTAGAAACGCATTTTTTAAAAAGAAATCAGACGTCGGAAGAACATTGCTAATAATAAACAACAAAACAAAATTTTCGATTTTTCCGAGATTTTTCCAAGGGGTACCCCTTCAATTTCTTCCAAATTTTCGTTTTTGGCCAATAACTCCCAAACCGTTGGACATACGGAAAAATTGCATATGACCTTTCTTGTAGAGGAC